GAATCATGTTTAGGAAGCGGTGGAACAACTTCATGTGGCATTAACCTTCGGATGAATGTCCAGTCAATCTTGACTTCTTCAAAAGTTGTAGTGGTTGCTTCTGAAAGTCAATAGTACTAATCTTTCTAACTACACTCGCGACATACGCCTACAAACCCCTCTTAGGAAGTGCATGTTTCCAAGGGTTGAGCCACGGCTTAGAGCTGTCGTCTTTGGAATCTACTGGAGATGATAGCAGTCTAACGGACTTCTTCTTGAGAGATGACAAACTTCGAGTGATAGGGCGCAGCATCTGTAAGTACAAAGATTCATTGCGACCACGAAATAACAGGAAGCAAACAAAGGACGGAGGAAAGCACAAAAACGAAGCCCCATATCAATGAAAAAAAGTAGTTGGGCGTTGAGAATGAGCATAGTCCGCAATTACATCTTTCCAGCAGAAAGGCTTTTGAAAATGAAAGAACCAAGGAAAGTGTTGTAATACATTACATGGCGGATGATCGGCTAAAATTGCTGCGATGGGCAACAGCAAAATTAATCAATGAGGTGGATTTGTACATCTCTTTTGAGAATTATTGCATAGTTATTTAAGGCATCAAATAAACCGGACAATACCGTAGACACAGAAACTCACGACTTCAAGAAGCTAAAAAATCTGGTACGCACGAACGAAGATGCAATTCCGGATTACGTCGACTATCTTTTCTCTTCATTACAGGTAACTTCAGTTAATGAGCATAATCATTGGACCTAACCAATAATATTCTCCTCTGCTTCATGAAAAACTTTATTCGTAGTTGTAGATGGAGTTATTTTCGTAGCAGGAGAAATATTGAAGAATAGCATAATGAAGTTTTGATTCTAAATTAGAAAAGGAGATAAATGTCATCAAACCGTTTCTTGCGTTATCTTCCGACTTACAAATGTAGAAGTCTCACTGCTTCATTACATAATGATATCAAAACGCCCTGTAAGAGGTGGAACTAGAATGTTCAATGCTTAGGATGTGCGACACTGACATTGTTTCTCTTCAGCTATAATCACGTTTTTAGCGATCTGATTCCGAACGAAGAAAGGCATTGTTGTCATTGTTCGACTACTTTTTCAATCGTTCTCACGTATTCCGACTGCGAACTGTAGAAAACTTGCAGGTTAGTTTTTCATAGTAAAATTCAGATTTTGACTTTAGTCTGTAGTGTGTCAATTAACTGTTTTTCATTCGTATTTAACAGTGGTACCCTAGCATACCTATTTACTTTTTTTCCAGGAGCTTCTTCATCTAGTATGTGAAACTGATCCGTTGCGATATCCACTTCCTGGACCAATCACTGAAGCCAAGCAGCTGAAAGTAAGTTATCATTAGGTTAGAGTATTCTTACACGATTATACCGAGCAAACTGACGTGATTTGCTTTGCAAATAGGTTATAATTTACTTTGTTAGTTTTGAACAGATTTTTGAAAGATCCCGACCTAATGAGTCTGAAGTACATGTCCTGTTTTCCATGTCTATAGAGCTCTGATCAGCAAGTATGAGAGTACTCATTTGTGGCCATTCTTTCATTCAAGGTCAGTGGAATAAAAACTATCAAAAAATGGTGGGAGAAGTTTGGCGCAGGCTACGAAAAGCTAAATCTTGTAGGAGACTATCTGAAGGAGTCCAAGGTATAACTCTCCTTTTTTTGGATGATATGAAGCTTCTTGATTGCTTTCAAGGCCGTTGATTTTGAATCCGCAACAGCGGAGATGCTTGCAGAGAGAGCTAGAAAGGCAGCTGAAGAACAGAGAGCAGCTGAAAAGCTGCAGAAGGTAGGTAGCTACAAGAGGCACTGCGTTCTCGAGTTGCTCTTACAATCAACCTTTATGTATTGCTCGTATAACAGATTGCTGCAAATGTGCGACGCAAGTTCAACGAAGCAAAGGATGATATCGAACGATGTCTGACGTCCTCTGAGGAAGCTCTCTCTATAGTCGTTCCTCCTTTTGAAGCCGACTCTGATGTCGGCACGCCAAAAAGCAACAGTGGAGAAAAATCTTGTGAATCTGATTACGCTGAAATCCAGGTAAACTTTTTGTTTTAAACCTCTCTTTTTTCATTTCTTAAGCTTTTTTTCTGCTTTTTTTGACAGTTGGACTTTCACATAGATTTTATAAATTAATCTTGATAAATGTATCCTTTTTTATTTGGAGGCTTCCCTCAGTTTTGTTGACCGCCAACGGACTTTCTGTGGCAGCCTATTTCATAGTTCCTTTTCTTAAGATATTTTGCTCGTTACACATTGGACTAAGCAAAAAAATTGTATTTTTTTAAACATATTCAAATCTCAGAGACGCTTAGACCATATAATAACAAGTTGATTGAATAAATTCCAAGGTGCATTCTTTTTAGTATTTTTTCAATTAAAATTTGGTAGCTGTTTCAGCCAGATGTTCATGGATACGCGACCACTGATACAGTTTCTATCGTACTGCCGTCATTGGCCCCTGAAGTGACTGTCAATGAAGACAATGAAGCTGTCTTAGAGAATATACGTGATGCCAAGGTTATGATGGACGTTTATAGAAAGAACATAATTAGGTACTTTATATGTCAGTAAGAGCTTGTCATTGCTAATTTTTACCAGTCCATGTTTTACAGCTGGCAGCGCAAGATTGGTGGAGCTAGTGCAGTAGAAGATCTAATGAGGGATTTGACTAATCTTAAACGAAGAATTGAGCAGCAGTGTGAAAAGATAGACGAGTTAAAACTGAAACCTAAGAAAAAAAGGCGTAAAAACGACGGATCTAGTGAGAGTGAGGAGAGCGATCTCGAAGATGTGCCTGAAAAACAGCGTTAGTGCACTTTCCATTTTATGTTTTTTTGAAGAGAGTTTGAGTAATCCCATAAGTTCAGTGGAAGATTTCTTCCCTCCTGATGAAGTGCCAAAATATATACTGGATCGAGTGAACGAAATGGAAAAAGAGGAACGGCCTTGCTGCAGTAAGTCGTTAGAACCGACCAAGAAAGAAGAGGACGCATCTGCAGCTCCATTTGCTGTAGGTTTTTTGTCAGCAGATCTTTGTCATTTTCAAGCTCATCAATGAATAGTTACAGAGCAATGATTCCCCTTCAAAACCTAAAATTCCCGTGGTGTCTTTTGATCTCGATTTGAAATATTGGGGTGAGAAGCACATAGAACCTGTTGTGTTGCGTAATACAGCCGATTGTCACAGGTTCTGGAGACCTCCCGATGATGACGATAAGTTTGTTAATCACCAATCTACTTTTTTATTTTTTATTCAAAAAGGCTACCACAAACAGAAATGTATTAATGATGTCCTGCTCAGGCCTCTCGTAAGCGAAAAGGAAGCTGCTTTCGGTGACTTGAGGGTTATAACGTGGGTTGGAGAACCACGAAAATCGGACAAACGTTGCAAAGCTAGATTATCAAGCGGAAAGCTATGTCCTCGAATGGACTTCCACAAGTAAGACTCGAGGAGATCGATCAAAGAAAGCACTGATTTATCTTCAAAAAAAA